AGCCTTTTTAGGCCTGATAAATTTAGACTTTCAAAGATTCACAACTACTTTCAGAGTGTTGTTCCGCACAAAAAGGAAGGCAGACTTGGAATCATCGTTTAAGTTCTACAAAGGATGTAAGTGCCATCTGAAACAGCCACATCGACAAAAGGCTTCCCTGAAAACATGGAGCGTACTAGTCTGTCCTCGCCTTGTCTGTTTCCACAGCAGTAAGTTGAGAATGCTCAATGTGGTCAACACTGTTTCTAACTCATGAAGTACCTATAATTTGCTTTGCACACAGTATACTCGAACTGCTCTTACAAGGGAATGACCAAATCGAAGCGGCCAATCCAAACAAGCTGCATAGAATTCAGCGTAGAACGTTGACTTCAAATATGTCTTCCTTACCTGCTAAACGCCTTTTTAGACGAAGCTGAGCAATTTTATTGCGAGAAAATCGTACATAAAGACTAAACACAATATTCCACTTTTAGCTCACCTCTAGGTGTTGGCTATATTGAGTAACCTAGCTGCATGTTTCCAGCATATAACCGAACATGGCTGTATGCGGGCACTTGTTTGGAAATTAGTTTTTTGATGACGAATTGGTGCTGAAAGAAAAGTCAGATTTTTCATCAAATCTCCAAAAAACCACACTCCAAAAACGAACCGAAGTTGGGCGTACAATGTGCATTTGACACCCACATAAAAACTTTGGATTCCGGCCATTTGCATTACCACAGATGGCCAAAGCATACCGGATTGCCGAAAGCTGACCCCACACGTAAATACCTGGAAATTCTCACATTTTTGGTTGCAGAGATTCACCAATAGAATCACCATGTGGACCAAGGTTGTATGTATTGATGTATCAAATTATTCATCTGTGCTCACTACAAGCTAAGAAAGAAACATAGAGAATTAAAAAAGTGATAGACAGCTAACCATATAATAGTCAGAATTGTCACCTGGTTATTACGAAAAATTTTGAGCTTTTAATATGTGAGAGTAGAGGCTTAAGGCCACTTCCTTATAAAAAAACCTGCTTAGCTGCTACTCGAATTGTTATAGGGCTTCGAAGTTGCATGTCAAAACGAACCCATTTATCAGCAAAAATATTCAAAAATAACCGTTGCTATTTCCTCCTTCTCCCTAGACTTTCTTCAATAGATTTAGGACAATTCCCGTGGCAGCAAGGATGCCAAAGGATGCTACTATATTAGAACATCACGGTGACTGCAAAAACTACATTGGAAAACTCCAAGAACCCCTCAAATTGGTGCACAAACCTGATCCAACTCAGAACTCGGTCTTGAATCCGCTTTGAAAGAGAACGCTCACATTTTTGATGATTCAACGCCTAGAAAACACACGGAATCTCCAAATTGGACTACTACAAGACAAATTTAACAGGCGGCACCACAGCGCGGGTTTGCAAACATTTACTTGCAGGAGAGTAGCCGAATTTTTTCCTTCGAGTCACAGTCAGGGTCCGGCACAGATCATCCGGAAAGGAGCTGGACTTCGTTTTTGGGGCGAAAAAGCAAAGGGGTTTCGCGGCCGAAAAACGCGAAGAAGTTGCGACGTTTTTTTTCGTTTTTTAGGGTTTTTTTTCACAGATATGGTTTGAGGTCAAAAGGGATTAAAATTTCTTGTAAACGTTTTAAGAGGTTCAGTCACATTTTTGAAAATTGCTGAAGAAAGATTAGCACTTTTTATCATGATTCATGAAAACCGCAATTTGCCTAGCACCGCTTACCTGGCATAACTCATGAAAAAGCCTAACGGCAAATGGCGGTTTTCACTTTTGTAGTTAGTAAATCATTTTGACTTGATGTTAAAGTTTTCAGCTTGCCGAATGCCTACTCATGTGGCAAGATATAGCTAACGAGGGCTCAAAGCCCTTTCATGGTTCCTACCGTAATAATGAATATCAATGGATGATTCGTTTAATACCGTAAACTCAAGTGAATCCTGTTTTACTAGGTACTTAGAGCTAAGTAATAGACTTTGTGTAGGAAAAAAAATTGGTAAGGACAAAGTGTGTACATGAGTCTTGCGACACCATTTTCGCTCATTCCATGAGGCTCGAGTGCAATAGGTGCACTTGGTCGCTTACTGTTTGAAAGAACACAGCTGCAGTGGCATCTAGTTAATTTGCTTGTCCTCTTGTTTATGTGCTATTTGTATGGTTCGAATGATTTTGAGTTCATGCCGTCGGGCTTTCTATAAAGGAATGCAGCTGTGTCGACATTTCCGTGATTTTTCATTCTTTGATGTTACGAATTCGATATTTGCTACAGTACAAACTCCTAATCTTCTTTCAGTCTGGTAGCTACATGGTGTAACGTCTGTTCGGATTTCTGGTAAAATTTCACTTAAACACCAGAGCTTTTAAATTTTGGAAACTCTCATACGGGGCATAGCGGCGACAGAAGCAATCTTGCCCTCTTTTCTCAGATTGAAACAAATTCTTTTACCCTGTGTATAAGTGCTCATCTAATTTGATCCCTAAGACGTAAATTTGTTATGTTGTATTAAAATCGTAGTTTCTTGTGAAGTTTCAAGAATTTGCTTTTGTCGTTTTTATTTACGGCATCAATCTCTGATGTGATATAAGATTTTTCTTCGGATCCTTTTCATGGTATGTCTATAAAATTCGAATTTGTTGTATAAAACTAGTCACTACGAAATGGAAAATGTTTGTGCCTAATGAGTTTTTACTTCTAAATTTTCGATCGAACAAAGCGTATAAGCAGACCCAGCACAAGAGGCTTTATACGCGTCTTTCCTTCATATCTAGCAAGCATTTTTCAGCAACGATAAATTCTTTTCTTAATATGTTACCCTCTTAAGGGTGAAAATGTCAAGTTAAGATTGGCAATATAAAGTCTTAGATAGGCTCCAACACAGCAACACACAGCTATCCTTATAAAGCTCACTATTATTTTCCGTGAGCATTTTCCAAATGATAAGCGGTAGCAAGACTACATACCAAACTTGCACACAGATTTCTGTGAAAAAATGTATTAGAATTTTCGTTGGCGCAAATTCTTACAAGGGAAGTGTCAGAAGTCGCAGTGGCCTTTTGACATGGGATGGGTACCATCTTAAGCAACTTAAAATGCTGATTCCAAAACAAACTTCTTTAGCTGCAGAACTGATCTGGGTCGCGAGTTATGGGCATTTTAAACATTAAATTTTACATTGTTTGAAGTACTTTGTGATCATGGAAACCTTTCAAATGCTTGTTTAAGCACCAAAGCATGACTTTGATGAAGGCGTAGAATTACGTTAAGCATTGATGGACTGTTTCATCTATGTTTGAGCCCAAAAAAATGTTCGCTTTAATTTTTGGCTATTCTCAGCGTTGTAAATTTCCCGCAAATTAAATTCAATAACTTTCGTTCTAGATTAGTTCTGCAGCTAAGAAAGGCTGTTTTGGAATCAGCATTTCAAGCTGCTTCAGATGATAACCATTTCATGTCAAAAGGCCACTGCGAGTTCTGACACTTCCCTTGTTAGAAACGGCGGACAAGTTTGAATCAAACACATCAAACAGCTTTTGTATATCTTTTTCAGACTAATAATTGCTTTCCTCAACACATTCAAGACCAGACCATTCTTTCGATTTCTGTTTTTGAACAAGAAATTTCGCACGTCAAAATAAGAAAGCCCCTCGTGGATCTTATGCCCGCAGTTGGTGATTTTATGAAAGGGTTGTTGAACATATATTCGGAAGCTCGTCCAAGTAGTTATCGAAGATATTGTTTTGTTTAGATACACTCATTTCATTTTTTTTATCTCGTACGAAATCGTAATCACTCGTCATGTGGTCAACGTTATGAAATTTCCTTAGAAGCTATATTTGGAGCAGTGTTAGCTTAGAACATGGTATCATTTAGACTACGACAATGCCGTAGTATTTACAGAAATATCAACAAATCGATGCAAGAAGTCAGCGCTACTTTCCGAGGCCACTATTCATGATCAGCGTGATAAAACTCTAGATTTGAGCTTCTTAGATTGTGCAAAAAACGAGAAAATTAGAAAAAATAGAAAGTTTTTCAGATGAAGAGCAGTAATCTTCTGCCTGCCCTTATCAATGTACTCCGGTTTGGGGATATTAACAACAGTTTCTGAACAACTTAAGCAGATTTCTGTTGTGCTTGCTTATGGGCATTAGTTAGTTTAACCCTGTAATGAGCTACGCCAAGATATCGGAGGGAAGTGGCAGTTAGGGATTATAGTGAATTTCATTCTTCTATTTCTTCAGAGTCCCCTTAGGAGACCAGAAATTAAAGTCGTAGTCTATCCATCCTTGGGGTTGCGTTCGTACTGATCCCGAAGTTCGAGAACAGTTCCAGCACAGCGCTTGAACTGAGCGCTGTGCTGGAATTGTTTCCGAACTTCCGGAACAGTATGAATGCAGCCTAAGAACCGCTTGGTATCGACTTTCTTTTCTAAACTCTTTTGTTGATGCCATTTCGATATGATCAGTGAAGAGGTAACGTTTGAATAGCGATACATCTTTGATTTACTTTTACAAACCTGGAGCAAGATGTAATTCATAGTGTAGCAGTTTTGTGAGTGACGCTTAAAATTTAGTGCTGATTTCGATTCTAACGTTTCTTGTCATCGCTTATGATATTTTATAAAAGATAGAAGGCAAGGAATTGGCAGTTTTCGTACTAGTCAAGATGTAAAGTCATGTTGCTGATTTATCAAAATTATTTTCCAAAGAGGCGATCACAAAAGTGAAGTATACATTGGATCGTCAGAGTATGCGCCTTAGCTTTTCGAAAATAATTAGGAAAAATTGTTTTTGAGCAACGAGAGCGAATTTGAGATAGAAAGCATTTAAATACGTATGTAAACCGTAAAAATAAAAATTTTTTCCCCTTGATGCTCTACAGGTTGAGACTAGAACTGAAAGAAAAAAAAACAGCTTTTCCTTGATTAATCATAAATGACAAAGGATTGACTTACTGCTCTAATGTAATGTGTTTCAGTGGAAGATGTCTTACAAGCTATTTATTCTCGCAACTGTACTCTTGCTGCATGTATGCATTGCTACTGCTTGTTTTGAATCGCTTTTCGGTTGTGTGCGTTCACAGGATAATAATGAGAACGAAAAACCAAAGAAGAAAAAGCAATATGAACAAGATCTTTGTAGGGCAAAATGGACGGTGAGTCCCAAATTTTGTTCAATATCTAAGCCACAACAGTCTTTTTCAGTGCTCAGGAGTATGCCGACCACATTGTGGAACAGTCCTTTATCAGGTGTGCCTCGACAACTGTATAGAAGCCATGATGACAAAACCTTCAAAGCAATGACAAACGCGTTCTGAGCTTCAGTAGATCCCCTGAAGTTTTTATTTCGTTTTGAACTGCCTTTTTGGAAACAAAATAAAGGTGTGTGTTCATACTACGGCTAGTGTTTATCTTCTCAAAATGTGATAAAACGTCTGACTCTGGACTACTGTTGGAATTCTCTTCCAATGTTGTACGGTTCCGTTACAGACTATTGTGTATTACATCACCTTACTTATTGGCTTAGGAGCTCTTCTGGCAGCTGATCAGCCTACCTGCGGGCGTATTACGCTGTAATCTACTCAAGGAAGGATTATCACTGTATACCACGTATTTACGGCGACATTTTACTTAGATTTCTACCTCAATATAACACTAACCGCATCCCGCAAAGCCCAAGGTTATGTGCACATTACAAGAGTTGTTTCGAAGGTTATAATATTAGTATCGTTACACTTCTTCCTCTAACTTTCTGTGCTATTTTTCACTGTTTAGATTCTGCTAAAGAAATCTCCGAGCTATTGAATGGACAGAATGCAAAAGTCACAACTTTCTCAAATGGCTTGTGGTTCTGTTCAGCGCTCATATAAGCTCAGAATACTATTGATGTATTTTTTTCAAAATTCATATGACAGTGAGTGCACAGTCAAAATGTTGGGATTGCTCCTATCTGCATGAAGATTCGTAAAGAAATGACATTGCAATGCAAAATTATAGATCCTTAAGGACTGCAACTAAACTCTATAATCTGCATAGAGATTACATGTTCGATCACCTTTCTTCAGACTTTTTTAAGCCGAGTAGATAGTCCTTCTGCATCGACATCCGTTCATTCGAAAACTTTGGTTTTCGAATTTCACACGGTATTTAATTACCCGGAGCTTTTAATTCTCTAATCTAGTCGATACTCGTTTATTCGACAAAAAATTCAGAGCTTTTTAAAGTATGCTGTATATGTTCTGAAGCAGGAGCTTGTGTGTAGTACCGCATTTGATCGCTTACCATCTGAAAGAACACAGCCGCGCGTGCCATCCAGTCAATCAGCTTGTCCTCTTGTTTGATTTTTGGCATTTGTTTGGAATTGATTGAAAAGTTCAAGAGATCGGACTTTGTGAAGAGAATACAGCTGACACAGCATTTACCGTTTTTTGATGCGATTTTCTGTATGTTATCTAGTATTTGCTGCAGTATACACCATCAACTTTTGTTGGTTCGAAAAGTTCATGTTCACAGCTCTCCACACGTGTTTTGCAGCTATGGAATAACTTTTCATGAATTGTTTGTGCTTTTTATACCTAAAACCGGCAGATGTAAGCTGTATAGCGGTATTTTTTTACTTTTTATTTTTTTTAATTTTAGCCGCCCTTTGAATTTCACGGCAACGTTTCAATTTCTAACTCCACTGCGAGGTTGAAGAGCTCACATGCCCGACCTTCTATATCGGTTTGACGAATCCACTGGTGATTTTTTCCCACTTTTTGGTAGTCGTGGCCTGATTTCAGTAAAATTCTCAGGAGTTTTGTTTGGCCTGGTAACGAAAGCAGTCTCTGATGTGATGTTCCCACTAATTCTTTTCATGATATGTATCATTCGTTCTATGACCAGGAGACGCGAGACCGCATGGCACACATTGTTTAAACAAGCCTAATCGTGTACTTAGCAGGTTTATACTTGTTATTAGGTCGTTCCGAAAGTTCTTTCCGTTTTTTCAACCTACCATAAAAACACGTGGAATGAAGATAGAGAAACTCTTCAGGCACTGTCCGATGCATCTTTTCTTCCTCTTTTCAACTGTCTATTTCTGTGCCGCTTGCTCTTGTGGTCAGTGAGATAATGGTCGAAATTTCGAACCCATGGTTTTTACCATGTCTAACTTTGGCAATTTTTCACAATCTTCTTTTTTGACTTTTCGAAAAGCTTTGATAGCAGTCAGATAGAGTAAACAAAGTGCAATTTATTAGAATTTTTTGACATCTATAGCCAGCCTTAAAAAATTTTTAGAATTATTTTTCTGATGCTATCAAATTCCACTTTTGGTAATGCTAAGAACCATAGAACATAAAACGGCGCACAACTAAGGTGTCATTCGATGCAGCTTTTCTTCCTCTTTCTATTGAGTATTTTTCTTCCCAATTTGTGGGAGTTTTTGGCGACAAAATTTCCATAATTCTTGATTTTGAACCTGTCTAAGGGTGTACACGTGAAATGCGAAATCTTAAATTTCGAAGCGGTAAACACTCAGTTACCTTGTAAAAATAGTTTACAATCATAAATGACTTTTGAAAGTGTCGAAATCCGAAGATTTGTTGATGTTTGGAGCGTTTGTGTGTTTTGTGACTTTGAAAAAGTGAAGACTTCTGGAAAAATTATCTCAAAAAATACTGAGAAGACAACTGAGAATGCCAAAAAATTACATTAAATTGCACTTTGCTTACTCTATCTGAATGCTATCAAAGCTTTTCGAAAAGTCAAAAAAGAAGATTGTGAAAAATTGCCAAAGTTAGACATGGTAAAAACCATGGGTTCGAAATTTCGACCATTATCTCACTGACCACAAAAGCAAGCGGCACAGAAATATGACAGTTGAAAAGAGGAAGAAAAGCTGCATCGGATAGTACCTGAAGCTTTTCCCTACTTTCATTCCACGTATTTTTATAGTAGGTTGAAAAAACGGAAAGAACTTTCGGAACGACCTAATATTTGTCTCGTCCAAATCTATTCACTCTTTGAAAACGGGGAAGAACAAACTCAAATTTGTTGAAACAATGCCCGCAATGCGGTTTCGCGCCTCCTAGTCATAGTATAGGGTTCTAACGCTGTATCAAATATTTCGCTTGGAAATGGATAATGAAAGTGCCCCATAATTTTTTCCTTAATGTTTCCTGTCAAGTAAAACATGTAAGCGGGTCCTGCACAAAAGCTCTTCTAAATCTGTTCCCCATATCTAGCGAGCTTCTCTCAGCAACGATTGCTTTCCTTTTTGATGTTTTACCCTTCTTTAAAGTAAAAATGTGGAGTAGTACGCAATTCAGCATTGTAGATGAAATGGCGCCCTGTACAAAATTCATTTCTACATTTGGTAAACATTTTTCCACTGCGGACCAAAAGTTTGATGATTGTTTCAAACTAAGGTTTCCAAACTCAGGCACAGGTTTCCGTGAAAAATTGTATCAAACTTTTTTGTGGGTAGGATATCTCAGAAACCGCAGACAAGTTGGATCAAGCACACCACAACCAAATATTTGATTCAAAACACTTTATCTAACACAGCGGATCAGACCATTTGTTGATTACTGCAATTTGAACAGTGTATTATTTTGGCCTGAAAGTTTTGTCGCATTATTTTCAGAAAATTCGTAACTTCTGATTTTTCCAAGCGATTTGCTCGCTATTGTATTTATTTGAAAATTTATTTTTTTTTTTTGATTTGAAAGAGCAATCCTGCTCTTTTTAAAAGTGTCTTAGCGGCTTTTTAATGAGCATGAGTTGCATAGATAGAGGCGGAAGAAGAAAATTATAAAGTTTGATGCTTCTGTGTTTGTTCCTAAAAGAACTAAATTGCATCGAAAATCGAAGCAATGAGCACCAAATGTTTTATTGCATACTTTTTCAAAATGCGCAAAGTTTGAGCAAATTGTAAGAGCAAGCAGTGCAAAACAGCAATTAATTTTTTGGCATTTTCTTAACACGTTGACGACCGCTTGACACACATGATGTGTCAAGCAGTGACTACCGCGTGGGACCGCTTGGCACACCATGTGTGTCAAAGCTTGAGTTTTTTTAAAATAACTACTCTTGAGTTCTTGTTAAAATAACTACTATCTCTCTATATAATAAAGCGCACGGTGTCTCTCTGTAACCCCCCCCCCCCCTCATGAGATGTCAACAGGTTTGTCGTTGCGTGCCGCTGCAGGCATACAGGGTTGATGACTCACTATGCCAGTGATGTCCGATTTAGACGATGTTGATGAAAACGCTAACCTCCAAAGTGCAATCTCCAAAAAAGTTAAAAGCTGTAAGCGGTAACATCGATTGTTCTGTCTTCACAATACGACGTCTCTATTTTCACATTGCAGCAGCACCTCTACTCGAGTCATCGGAACAGGTCAGCTATCAATTCCTTTCTCATTTAGCATTTTCTAAGAAGAAACAATTCAATCATGTGAACGAAAGCCTGTGTAATCATGCTTTTTGAGCAGAATCACACACTTCGAAAAATCGTCCATAAGAATGGGCATCTGATAACAAAGTTAGATTTTAGTACCTTGCTCATCACTACCACTTGTTTCTAAACTACAAAATAGTGAGCTGCAATTTTTTTGAAAAAATATCTCCACTTTTGTGATTTTCAAACGAATCCTCAACCGTTACATAATTTCCCTATTTATTTTATATTTGGAAAACATCACATGTCCTAATCGATAATTCTTCTACAGAAAGTTGTAGTTACAGTCTCAAGTGCTTCTCAAGCGACCATCACCTTTCGAATTGTCAAGTTTTTGATTTCCCATTTCAATATCAAATCAATCTGTAGTTTTCACAATCTCAGCCGATTTCACTATGATATATAACCCTAGATTGCCTCTCTCTTTGGGTTTGTTTCCCAAGAGATCGACTTCGTATCTACTCATCGCTACCATTTGCCTTCTAAAATACAAAATATTGAGCTGCAATTTTTTGCTACAAAACATATCCAGTTTTGTGATTTTCCTCAATCTTTCCGAAATCAAATCTGTAATTTTCACAGTCTCTGCCGTTTCACTATTATGAATAATCTCTGTTCGGAAATAGAGTTATCAAGCTGTTCGTTTTCGCTCCCAAAAGCCAGTTACTCTGTGCTTTACTCAACGTAAGTCACTTTGTAATCACATTCCTCAACTGATTTGCTCCAAATTTTTTGTATGCTTTCCAAAATATTCTCCTCACTTCAAAAATCCATATGGAATTATTGTACATGAATCTTCGTACTGAATGCTTTTGCCTAATGTCTGATACTCTATTATAGTGCATATATATCAGAAGAC